CAGATCAAACTGGTTTGATGAAGGAGTTTGTCTTTGGTTGGTCAGGAGGCTGAAGGCTGATGAAGCGCCCAGTTGAATGAACTGGTTTCCTGCCAGCATGTGTTTGTGGGGCCCATCGAGGGTTGGCCAGGCTGGACGGGTCCAGTACCTTTACAAGAATCATACTGTGGGTCCAGGTGGGTTGACAGAACAGAACAAATCCAACAGGTGGATCCAGACTTTAGACTTTTTTTTATTGTCCATTAAACTTACATAAAATGGAAATTTTGCTTGGTAATGGGACAAAGATGGACAACACAACACACATCACAGTCGACACGATAACTGTATGTATAAATGATAAAACAAGATCTATAAAATAAAGTCAATCATATTACTCTACCCATGTCATTCAGTTAAATATTAAAAACCATTTAAAATTTACCATATTATTGCAAAGAAGAGCACACAGAACTTTCTGCACTGTGTTACTGTGTGAATTTAAAAATCAGTAAAAATCCTACTAGCAGACTCTTAGGGACCACATAAAGCTTATGTTACTATAATCTTTGTCTAGAATATCCACAGCTGATGGAACAAATGGCTGCTGTAGCCATTGTTTCTTGTTATTGGAGTTTTAAATCTGCGTCCAGATGGAAAATCACAGTGAAGAGGATGAGTCGGGTCCCAGATAGGATGAGTCGGGTCCAGATAGGATGAGTCGGGTCCAGATAGGATGAGTCGGGTCCAGATAGGATGAGTCGGGTCCAGATAGGATGAGTCGGGTCCAGATAGGACGAGTCGGGTCCAGATAGGATGAGTCGGGTCCAGATAGACTTGATGTGCCTTCTTTGTTAAGGCCCGCGTGTACAAATGTGAAAGTTGTTTAAGTCCAATAATCTTTCTGGCCTGGTTGACGATCTGTCCCAGTTTGTCCTTTTGTTTGACGGAGAGGCCCATACCATGACACCATGTTGAATGTCAGCACACTCTCGGTCAGGGACTTGTAGACCATGGACATGGTGCGCTGACTGGTGAGTCTTCTCAGGAGAGCCAGGCGCTGTCTACCTTTTTTAAATGTGTCGTCCACATGGTCTTGAAACTGCAGGTGACTGTCTATGACTGTCCCAAGGTATTTAAACTGAGTCACCTGCTCCACCTCCTGACCCTTCATGCTGATTGGCCTGAAGGTGTGCCGCGGGTCTTTATTGCCTCCCTTCTTGTTGCTTCCTAGCCACATCTCCTTGGTTTTGGAGACATTAAGGTCCAGGAAGCTGCTGTCAAACCATTTTGTCGATAAAAGCAGCAACACATGTAGAACCCACATGGGTCCCACTTCCCCCCACAGTCATCCTGGATCAAACATGATCTGCCACCTTATGGGCCCCATATGGCCCAATATGGCCCTGTATGGTCCAGTAAGTCCCCCGTAAGACCCCATTGTCCAGAATGTCTCTGAAGGGTCCCACATGTCCATGTAAGCTGGCTGATGCTTCATAATGCTGCCTGCCACTGATGGGACCCACCAAAATGAAGGTTTCTGTGTTTTTACTGTCCTGAAAAAGAAATGGAGAAAACATTTTTTTGTCAGTTTTATCTTTTGGTTTCTGCAGATAAATATGAAGAATTTATTCCCAAACTGTTCTTGTTCCTTTCATTTCTCTGATTCTGTTTTTACATTCGAAGGTAAATTCAGTTGAATTTGAATAAATTTAGAGTGAAAGAATCTGTCTGTCTCTGTGTTTCAGTGAATAATCACACCATGTTCAGAAAGGTGATGGATCTGCAGCAGCTCTGCTTCCTTTAGCCAGATAATTGCTTCAATTGCAATTATGAAAACACATTGATTTAGATAACACGTTTATTGGTCAAATGTTTTTCTCAAATCTGCAAAAGAAACAAATTTTTTACGTTATTTGACTCATTTGATCAACATCCAGATGTTAAAACTGGTGGAAAATCCGAAGTGGACGACAGGAAGATGATGGTTTTTAATGACTCATCCATGTGGTTTTAATTACGCTTCTCACTTAAGAGAAACACAGAAATTGTGTTACTTCAACATTAGTGAAATATTGATGTCTCAGCATGACTTTAGTCCTCTGGTCCTGGAAAGGTTCTGCTGCTGGTAGGAGGCCCACTGAAGAACCAAGGGTCAGAGGTCAGAATGATCTCTAGTTTCCAGCTGAAAGAACTGAAGATGATTCTAGATCTATAACTCTAGATATATAACTTGATTGCTCCAGAACCGGACCAGAACCAGAACAAGCAGGAAATCAAATGCTTTGATTTTCACACATTTTCCTGAGAATTTTAGTTATGATGTAAATATTTCATCTTTCATCAGTTTCTCTGTTTCTGCCTGAGTTTCACTCAACAGCAGATTTTAATTGACATAAATCTGCTATCAATTAAATGATTAAATCTAAATAATGTAAAAACTGGATGGATTTGTTTTAGTGTTCAGATGTTTTGGGTAAATGACGTCTGAAGGTCCGACTGCTCCAGACATCACTGATGAGAAACGACTTGAGACTTTTCAAACGGAACCAGAACGCAGTAGAAACCACAAGAGGTGATGAAGAGGATGAGGTGATGAAGAGGATGAGGTGATGAAGAGGAGGACGTGATGAAGATGATGAGGTGATGAAGATGAGGAGGTGATGAAGATGATGAGGTGATGAAGAGGAGGAGGTGATGAAGAGGATGAGGTGATGAAGATGATGAGGTGATGAAGAGGATGAGGTGATGAAGATGATGAGGTGATGAAGAGGAGGACGTGATGAAGATGAGGAGGTGATGAAGAGGAGGACGTGATGAAGATGAGGAGGTGATGAAGATGATGAGGTGATGAAGAGGAGGAGGTGATGAGAGGATGAGGTGATGAAGAGGATGAGGTGATGAAGAGGAGGACGTGATGAAGATGATGAGGTGATGAAGATGAGGAGGTGATGAAGATGATGAGGTGATGAAGATGATGAGGTGATGAAGATGAGGAGGTGATGAAGATGATGAGGTGATGAAGAGGATGAGGTGATGAAGAGGAGGAGGTGATGAAGATGATGAGGTGATGAAGATGATGAGGTGATGAAGATGAGGAGGTGATGAAGATGATGAGGTGATGAAGAGGATGAGGTGATGAAGAGGAGGAGGTGATGAAGATGATGAGGTGATGAAGATGAGGAGGTGATGAAGATGAGGAGGTGATGAAGATGATGAGGTGATGAAGAGGAGGAGGTGATGAAGATGATGAGGTGATGAAGAGGAGGGTGATGAAGAGGAGGAGGTGATGAAGAGGAGGAGGTGATGAAGATGATGAGGTGATGAAGATGAGGAGGTGATGAAGATGACTGGAGGAGCAGCAGTTTCTGCTGCTCTGGTCTAAAATGTGTTTTTGCTGATTCACCAAATTGTTGCTTTTGTTCAGGAAATTCCCTGGAAAGGTGGATGAATGACTGATGAACACATGAATTCATGCAGGCAGCAGCAGGAGGAGCTTCAGGGGAAACCAGCTGATTCAACATGTTCGGTGAACTCTGACCTTCTGGAGAAACAGCAGGACGTCGTCATGGAAACTAAATACTTTCAGGTTGAATTAATATTAAGATTTTAATTGATATCAGAGCAAAACATGATAATAAATCAATAACCTGCTGCAGAGAAAAGCACTGAGATGTTTCTGCAACAAACAGATCAAAGAGTTTTATGTCAGAAAACAATAAAGAGGGAAACAGCAGAAACATTAAATATAAATATGTCTCTGTGTCCCAGTGTCCCAGTGTCTCTGTGTCCCAGTGTCTCCAGTGTCTCTGTGTTCCAGTGTCCCTGTGTCCCAGTGTCTCGTGTCCCAGTGTCTCTGTGTCCCAGTGTCTCCAGTGTCTCTGTGTCCCAGTGTCCCTGTGTCCCAGTGTCCCTGTGTCCCAGTGTCCCTGTGTCCCAGTGTCTCCAGTGTCCCAGTGTCTCCAGTGTCTCTGTGTCCCAGTGTCTCTGTGTCCCAGTGTATCCAGTGTCCCAGTGTCTCCAGTGTCTCTGTGTCCCAGTGCCCTGTGTCCCAGTGTCTCTGTGTCCCAGTGTCTCTGTGTCCCAGTGTCCCAGTGTCCCAGTGTCTCTGTGTCCCAGTGTCTCTGTGTCCCAGTGTCTCCAGTGTCTCTGTGTCTCCAGTGTCTCTGTGTCCCAGTGCCCTGTGTCCCAGTGTCTCTGTGTCTCCAGTGTCTCTGTGTCTCCAGTGTCTCTGTGTCCCAGTGTCTCTGTGTCTCCAGTGTCTCTGTGTCTCCAGTGTCTCTGTGTCCCAGTGTCTCTGTGTCCCAGTGTCTCCAGTGTCTGAACACAGTCTGTCCTGCTGCATCAACTTTGGTTTGATTTGATACAAACAACATAAAGAAACTCGACAAACGTTTTATCAAAACAATTCATTCAGAAATGAACAAAAATTTAATTTCTTTAACTTGAGAATCACAAATAAAAACTTTGACACCATTAAACATCAGCAGGCCTGAAAACTGGACAATAAACTACAGAAAAGCATCATTACATAAGCATTTTATTGACATTTATTTAATGAAAAAAGATTTGCAAGCTACATTACTCTAAACATGCAAAACATTTTAAAGTAAGAAACTAAATAGAGGTAAATAGAAACAACTAATAACACCAAAAATGTCAAAAATAACAAAACTCAAACAAGATCCCAGCAGATGATCCCATGACTGCAGAAATAATGATTTTAGTGCCTGAATTAGCTTTAATTCCTTTATTCCCATTAAAATGTCTGAAAATAAACAGTAGCTCTATGTGCTCAATATGAAGAAATGAATTAAAATTAATTTGGATGTAAAAGTCAGTAATTAATTTTCATCTTAAGCATTTTAACAAAGCTGCAGTTCACACTCCTCACCACTAGGTGGTGGTAATGCACACTAAGTAGCTGTGATCTGAGGAAGAAAACCACTTCCTGTTGAAGGACTGACTGGGTCAAAGTCCAGTCCTGGAGGGTCAGTGTCCTGTGACCTTTACCCCTCTGCTGCATCACCTGGACAGAAAATGAGGTCATCAAGGTTCTGCAGATCCGATCCACACTGGAGCATCTTGTACCTGTGGCTCATCTAAAACCTGCAGGGATTTGACTTTTTCTGCAGGTTTATTTCAGGTTTCTGTGTCTCTGAGTCTCCATGTTGTCCTGTCTTCCCCTCGACTGTTCCCTGATGTGTCTCGTTCCCTGATGTGTCCCGTTCCCTGATTACTTCCTGTGTATTTAATGTAACCTGCTTCCCTGTGTCCCTCTGTGTCTCTGTCAGGGCCTGGTCGTCTCTGGTCGTCTCTGGTCGTCTCTGTCGTTCTGTTTCCTGTTGCTGGATGTTTATTAGTTGCTCTCAGTGTTTAATCTGTTTAATCTGCCTGGATTATGGATTCATATTTTCATCTTTAAATCTCCGTTTATTCTCTGGATCTGCTGCTTCTGCCTCAACCTCTCATGACCTTGAGGACTGGAGTTTGACCCCTGTGATCCAGCTGACTCAAACCTGCTCCTCTTTGTCCCTCCTGCAGGAAGTGTGGGAATGTGACCTCTGACCTCTGACACATCCATGTGTGGCGTGAACCCAGTGACCAAGCAATCTAATCCAATCAAAGGGCTTTTAAAATTGATAATTGAAATTCAGTGATGATATGTTTTTCCTCCTCTAAATGATTTCAGAACCACCTGAACCCAAATCAGTCTCTAAAGAGGAGAAGAAGAAGAATGGTGAGTCCGATCAGCGGTCCAGAAGGTCCAGAAGGTCCAGAAGGTCCAGCTTTGCTTCCTCTGCCTGTAATCATCCTGGACTCTGTGGAGGAGAACCAGCAGTGAGACCTCTGACCTCTGACCTCTGTCAGGTACACACAGGAAGCAGCAGCAGCTGACTAAATGCTGACTCAGCTCAGTTCCTGCTTGTTCAACCACATGATCTCTGACTCTGTTTCTATCAGGCTGAGAAGTTTCTGGAGCTGCTCAGGTTCCCTGACCTCCGTCCTCCATCTTTAACCAAGACCTGAAATGGACCTGCTGAACACGACTAACTGGTCTGGACCGGTCGGGTCATCAGGAGCAGTGGACAGGTTCTGTCCTCATGCTTCATCTGATGGACCACAATCAGTCTCTCATTGAGGTGATGAGGACTGGAAACATGAAAACCAATCAGGACTTGGTGAACTCTGACCTCTGACCCTGAACGTGACTCACTTCCTGTCTGATGTCCCTCCTGGTTCCAGACGATGTGATGCTGTTTGTATCTGTGAGTTAAACTGGGCTGAAACCCAGAGCTCCCAGTTTCCTGCTCTGTTTCCACTGAGCAACAGAACCGGACCAAGGGGTCAGAGGTCAGCTGGTTCCGATCCAGAAGGATCTGCCTGGATGAACCAGCAGCCATTTAGTGTTTCCTCTTTGGCTCATGATGTGGAGAAATGACCTGAACTGCATCTCAGAGTGAACTCTGTGACCTCTGACCTCAGGCTGATGACCAACACAGAGCAGAGACATGAGGCAGTGAGACATGAGGCAGTGAGACATGAGACAATGAGACATGAGGCAGTGAGACATGAGACAATGAGACATGAGGCAGTGAGACATGAGACAATGAGACATGAGGCAGTGAGACATAAGACAGTGAGACTTGATAAATTAGACATTGAGACAGTGAGAAATGAGACATGAGACAGTGAGACATGAGACATTAGACAACATCTAACCCTGGGAGTGCAACCCGGACTGGTTCTCTTACTCCTTATTCTCAGTAGAATAAAGACTAAACATCAGATTAAGAGATTATCTAATCTCCAGTTTTGGATGAAGATTATCTGAAGATCTTAGAAACTGTGATTCCTGCAGGAAGCTGCAGAGACAGACAGACAGACAGACAGACTGACAGACAGACAGACTGACTGACTCACCTCCAGCTACCTCCAGGTTGATGATGCAGTCGGGTTCTGAGTTCATATCTGCTCCTCTATGAACGACTCGACATTTATATGTTCCTCTGTCTGCAGCCGTCGGGTTCCTCAGAACCAGAGACACGTCTCCGCCCTGCATCCGTCTGTCCTGCAGATCCACTCGGCCCTTAAAAGATGAATCCTGTTGATCTGTGACAAACTGGGAACTTCTGAACAGAAGAACCCGATAGGAACCCAGACCGTCCCGGGTCCAGTCCACTACTATGATTGGTCTGCTGTCTGCAGCCCGACATGGGAGAACGACGTTCTGTCCAGGTTTTGCTCTGATGCTGATCTGATCTGAAGGAGAGAAAAAGAAACTACAGATCAGATTCTGGTCTCTGGATTCACCAACAGAACCTCAGATCAATAATCTGGTTACAGAACCTTTAATGGTCTGGTTCTGCTCAGCTGTTCTGGACTGGAAAGCAGTGAGAGCATCAAACTCATTCAACACAAATTAAACCAAATTAACTCAAAGTTCAGGTTCAGATGATCTCATTGGTTGCCTGTTAAATGTGAAAGTAATAAATCCAGTTAATAAACAAAAATGATTTTCATCTCCAGCAGCAGAGAAACCTGATCCAGACGGGGTCAAAGTTCAGTTTGTTCACTGGCCTCCTGGAACACAATCAGTAACGTTTCAGTGATTCTAGTTTTTAGTTTTGAGTGAATTTCTGGTTTCATTCTTTAAATCGTCTTCAGGTTCAGTGAAGTTCTGCTGTCTCTGGTTTCTTTACTGAAATATAATCACTTTAGTTTTATTCTCTCTGTTTTCCAATCAAAACCAAAAACAGAATGAAATAAAACCGTTGGCGTCGCCTCACCTCTCCCCTTCACAATAAGAGCGTGCAGTTGGGTGTGAAATAAATACTTTGATTAGGCCAAACTGCCACCATTAAAGGAAAATTACAGATAATGTTCTGCCTTGTCTTTGTTCTGATGGATCCATCTGCATTAAACTCAGAGTTAAACTAAAACATGTGAATAATAATGATTTTCCTGTTATTTCTTCTTTTATCTAGTTATTTATCATGAACTTATTGATCTGTCATGTTTGTTCTGCTCCAGTTGGTGAATAAAAATGATCAGCAGTTTTTCCAGCGTTGAACAAAATCAAGCAACAAAAGAAAAGAAACAGCAGCAGGAACAAACTGGAGGATCCTGAAACTTTACACCAAAACATCAACATTAAGCTGGTTAGTGAGTTTCTAACATGGTTTAGCTGGTTAGTGAGTTACTAACATGGTTTAGCTGGTTAGTTGGAACTTACCAGAAAACGAGTAACGAACGTATGAAACCAGAACCAAGAGCAGGAGCTGCGGTAAAGACGCCATGAGGAGCGAAGAGAGAAGAAAACATCGTTTATGTGATCTGTGTGTTGGAACCGGATCATGTCTGAACACGCAGATCCGGTTCCCTGAACCTGATCGTGTTCAGACATGATCAGGTTCAGATTCCTGTTCTTCCTCATTTCAAATTAAACTGCTGCTTCAAGATGTCAGGATTATTTCAGTCTAAAATAAAACCTGAAAAGCTCATTTCTCTACATGAATCTTTTTCGAGTATTTTGTAGGTGATGCATAAGGTCAGAGGTTAAAACATCAGATTAAACCAGAATAACAGAGAGAGAGAGAGAGAGAGAGAGAGAGAGAGAGACTGGTCCAACCTGCACAGGGTTTATTATTTACTGAAGTTATTTTATTCATTCACAGCAAAAGAGATCAAATTATCGGAAAAATTAACAACCTCTTTATGTTATTGGCAAAATCAAAAATGACTTTATTATGTATTTAATTTATGATTAAATCCAAAATGAAATACATGAACTAAGAGCAATTACAGCTTCCTACAGGATCCGTTCTCTATTTTAGGTGTTGGAGTTTGGTCCTGGTTGTTCTTGTGGAAAATCATAAACAGAAACAAACATTTCGAAATAAATGGATCCGCCCTCCTCCAACAGGTCCATTCCTGCTGCAGCTGCTGCAGGAAGATTGCTGCAGCAGCTTGAACCACTGCGCCCTCCTGTCACAGCACGGAGTCTCCTGGTCACAGCAGGGGGTCTCCTGGTCACAGCAGGGGGTCTCTGGGTCACAGCAGGGGGTCTCTGGGTCACAGCAGGGGGTCTCTGGGTCACAGCAGGGAGTCTCTGGGTCACAGCAGGGGGTCTCTGGGTCACAGCAGGGGGTCTCTGGGTCACAGCAGGGGGTCTCCTGGTCACAGCAGGGGGTCTCCTGTCACAGCAGGGAGTCTCTGGGTCACAGCAGGGGGTCTCTGGGTCACAGCAGGGGGTCTCTGGGTCACAGCAGGGGGTCTCCTGGTCACAGCAGGGAGTCTCCTGTCACAGCAGGGGGTCTCTGGGTCACAGCAGGGAGTCTCTGGGTCACAGCAGGGAGTCTCTGGGTCACAGCAGGGGTCTCTGGGTCACAGCAGGGGGTCTCTGGGTCACAGCAGGGAGTCTCTGGGTCACAGCAGGGGGTCTCCTGGTCACAGCAGGGAGTCTCCTGTCACAGCAGGGGGTCTCCTGGTCACAGCAGGGAGTCTCCTGTCACAGCAGGGGGTCTCTGGGTCACAGCAGGGAGTCTCCTGGTCACAGCAGGGAGTCTCCTGTCACAGCAGGGGGTCTCTGGGTCACAGCAGGGGTCTCTGGGTCACAGCAGGGGGTCTCCTGGTCACAGCAGGGGGTCTCTGGGTCACAGCAGGGGGTCTCTGGGTCACAGCAGGGGGTCTCTGGGTCACAGCAGGGGGTCTCTGGGTCACAGCAGGGGGTCTCCTGGTCACAGCAGGGAGTCTCCTGTCACAGCAGGGGGTCTCTGGGTCACAGCAGGGAGTCTCTGGGTCACAGCAGGGGGTCTCTGGGTCACAGCAGGGGGTCTCTGGGTCACAGCAGGGGGTCTCCTGGTCACAGCAGGGGGTCTCTGGGTCACAGCAGGGGGTCTCTGGGTCACAGCAGGGGGTCTCCTGGTCACAGCAGGGAGTCTCCTGTCACAGCAGGGGGTCTCTGGGTCACAGCAGGGAGTCTCTGGGTCACAGCAGGGAGTCTCTGGGTCACAGCAGGGGGTCTCTGGGTCACAGCAGGGGGTCTCTGGGTCACAGCAGGGAGTCTCTGGGTCACAGCAGGGGGTCTCCTGGTCACAGCAGGGAGTCTCCTGTCACAGCAGGGGGTCTCCTGGTCACAGCAGGGAGTCTCCTGTCACAGCAGGGGGTCTCTGGGTCACAGCAGGGAGTCTCCTGGTCACAGCAGGGAGTCTCCTGTCACAGCAGGGGGTCTCTGGGTCACAGCAGGGGTCTCTGGGTCACAGCAGGGGGTCTCCTGGTCACAGCAGGGGGTCTCTGGGTCACAGCAGGGGGTCTCTGGGTCACAGCAGGGGGTCTCTGGGTCACAGCAGGGGGTCTCTGGGTCACAGCAGGGAGTCTCTGGGTCACAGCAGGGAGTCTGCTGGTCACAGCAGGGAGTCTCCTGTCACAGCAGGGGGTCTCTGGGTCACAGCAGGGGGTCTCTGGGTCACAGCAGGGAGTCTCTGGGTCACAGCAGGGGGTCTCTGGGTCACAGCAGGGGGTCTCTGGGTCACAGCAGGGGGTCTCTGGGTCACAGCAGGGGGTCTCTGGGTCACAGCAGGGGGTCTCTGGGTCACAGCAGGGAGTCTCCTGGTCACAGCAGGGAGTCTCCTGTCACAGCAGGGGGTCTCTGGGTCACAGCAGGGGGTCTCTGGGTCACAGCAGGGAGTCTCTGGGTCACAGCAGGGGGTCTCTGGGTCACAGCAGGGAGTCTCTGGGTCACAGCAGGGAGTCTCTGGGTCACAGCAGGGGTCTCTGGGTCACAGCAGGGGGTCTCTGGGTCACAGCAGGGAGTCTCTGGGTCACAGCAGGGGTCTCTGGGTCACAGCAGGGGGTCTCCTGGTCACAGCAGGGGGTCTCTGGGTCACAGCAGGGGGTCTCCTGGTCACAGCAGGGAGTCTCCTGTCACAGCAGGGGGTCTCTGGGTCACAGCAGGGAGTCTCTGGGTCACAGCAGGGAGTCTCCTGTCACAGCAGGGTCTCTGGGTCACAGCAGGGGGTCTCTGGGTCACAGCAGGGGGTCTCTGGGTCACAGCAGGGAGTCTCTGGGTCACAGCAGGGGGTCTCCTGGTCACAGCAGGGGGTCTCTGGGTCACAGCAGGGGGTCTCCTGGTCACAGCAGGGAGTCTCCTGTCACAGCAGGGGGTCTCTGGGTCACAGCAGGGGGTCTCTGGGTCACAGCAGGGAGTCTCTGGGTCACAGCAGGGGGTCTCCTGGTCACAGCAGGGGGTCTCTGGGTCACAGCAGGGGGTCTCTGGGTCACAGCAGGGTGTCTCTGGGTCACAGCAGGGGGTCTCCTGGTCACAGCAGGGGGTCTCTGGGTCACAGCAGGGGGTGTCTGGGTCACAGCAGGGAGTCTCTGGGTCACAGCAGGGGGTCTCTGGGTCACAGCAGGGGGTCTCCTGGTCACAGCAGGGGGTCTCCTGTCACAGCAGGGGGTCTCTGGGTCACAGCAGGGGGTCTCTGGGTCACAGCAGGGGGTCTCCTGGTCACAGCAGGGGGTCTCCTGTCACAGCAGGGGGTCTCTGGGTCACAGCAGGGAGTCTCTGGGTCACAGCAGGGGGTCTCCTGGTCACAGCAGGGGGTCTCCTGGTCACAGCAGGGGGTCTCTGGGTCACAGCAGGGGGTCTCCTGGTCACAGCAGGGAGTCTCCTGTCACAGCAGGGAGTCTCTGGGTCACAGCAGGGAGTCTCCTGTCACAGCAGGGGGTCTCTGGGTCACAGCAGGGGGTCTCCTGGTCACAGCAGGGGGTCTCTGGGTCACAGCAGGGAGGATCAAGGGAGGATCAATCTGAGATCATTTACTTCAGTATTTCCAACCATAATGTAGTTAAGCAGTAATTAATTCAACACTAGATGGCGCTGATGTTCTGTACAGATTAAGTTACATCAGTTTCTGTCTTCACTAATATTAATGCATCATTCATGATCATCCTGGAGGTTTTTATTTGTTCAATCTCCACTAAATAAACTGATTTTCTGTCTGAAGCTGTTTCTGCAGCAGGTGCTGCTGCCTCACCTGCTGCAGCAGGTCTCAGGCTGAAGCAGCAGCTCAGCATCAGCAGAGCAGGAAGTGAGCAGCCAGCAGCCGGAGGCTCAGAGGAAGAGGGCGGACTGAGCCGGGCTCACCAGCACCGACCCAAACGGGTCAACGCTCTGAGGAGACATGGAGGAAACATCTGCTAGACGTCTGCTGGGTGAGAAACTGTCTGCACTTCTGCTTTGGTTCTGCTGGTTCTGATGGTTCTGATGGTTAAAACTGAGTCCAAACGCAGCAGGACTTTAGACAGGAACAGGAAATGTGTGTCAGACCTTCACAGATCATGAGATGAGGATCAGAAACGTCCTGATTCGTTCATCTGAATTCATTTCTCCTCAGAGTTCTTTGTCCTGCTGAGCTGCTCCACAAACTCAGGTCAGTTTTTCCTCCTGCAGCATCAGGAACTGATTATCAGAGACCATCAGTTTGGATCGATTGATCATCATGTGACCAATCAATATTTACACTCTATTCTGACATCTATAAGTAATTAGAAGATGCTGTTAATGAAGCATATCAGAGTATTTACAGATAATCATGTTATTTTCCAGTCCTCCCAGTTCGTCTGACTGTGAGTCCCAGCAGATCCCAGTTCATTGAAGGAGAATCAGTGACTCTGATCTGTGAGGATGAAAACAGATCAGCTGGATGGACAGTGAGGAGAAACACCAGCACAAGAAACATGACTCAGTGTAAAGATGGATGGGGAGAAGCTGATGGTTCTACCTGCAACCTGACCTACATCCTCCCATTAGATACTGGTCTGTACTGGTGTGAGTCTGGATCCTCCAACAGCAGCAGCAGCAGCAGCAGCAGCAGCTGCAGCAGCAGCAGCATCAGCAGCAGCAGCAGCAGCTGCAGCATCCAGCTCTCTGTCTCTGGTAAGATCAGACTGTGGAGTTAGTGTTGCTGTGTGGAAATGGATGAAATGCTGTAGTTTTCTCTGTGTTGAAAGGATCAGTGATCCTGCAGAGTCCTGTCCTCCCTGTGATGGAGGGAGATGACGTCACTCTGAGCTGCAGAGCAAGGAATCCAACCCACAACCTCCCAGCTGCTTTCTATAAAGATGGCTCCTTCATTGGTGATGGATCAGCAGGCAGCATGACCCTCCTCCATGTTTCCAGCTCTGATGAAGGCCTCTATAAATGTAGCATCAGCGGTTCTGGAGAGTCTCCATCCAGCAGGGTCTCTGTCAAAGGTCAGAGGTCAGCAGCTTCTCTGTCTCGTCATCAGGAGACAAGAAGTAAATGATTCTCTGGTTCATTTCAGGGAGAGTCTCCTCCACTCCTCCTTCCTCCACCTTTCCTCCCAGTTCCCAGTCTCCGGTGGATTCTTCCTCTCCCAGTCTTCCTCCTCCTCTTCCTCTCTGTCTCGGTCTCGTCTTCATCTTCGTCTTCGTCTTCCTGGTTCTGCTGCTGAAATGTTTTGTCAAGAGGAAACATGAAGGTAAACATCAGAGATTTTCTTGATGAGTTTTTATTTCAGATGTTGTCAGATTGTGATTTCAGGTTTCTTGTTGTTTTCAGCTGATGAAGATGAAGATGAAGATCTGTCCCACAGTGATGATGCGTCACAAACACGACTGCAGCCAATCAGATGCAGCAAAGGTTCAGTCTTACAGTTATTAGTGTTTTATTTTTATCAATCAGATGAAAATCTTAGAAAGTTTTGATGTTTGTATTTTCATTTTTTTAGAAATGTTTGTTTCAGTTTCTGATTTTCCACAAGAACAACCAGGACCCAGCTCTGATGACACTGTGATGACGTCACAGTGACGCCGTGATGACGTCATCATGACGCCATGGTGTCTGCAGGTCGTTGTGCTTCAGTATTTGTTGTGTTTCCAGTCTACATTCTGTCACGCTGCAGCTTAGATTCAGATCCACAAACAGAAATGATCCAGTTGTATCCGTGCAGCACCAGGATGGTTTGGGTTTAATCCGTCCTGAATACTCCTGACCATAAATATGGACCGGACCTGACTGGACCGGACCAGACCGGACCTGACCGGACCGGACCGGACCGGACCGGACCAGACCGGACCGGACCGGACCGGACCTGACCGGACCGGACCGGACCGGACCGCTCAGTGGACCAGAACCCTGAACCAGTGTAACTTACTGATCCACCCTCTAGTGTGGAAATGTCTCCTCACTGGGAGGTTCTGGAGGGTTTGGTTCTGAGGCGTGTGGTCGGGTTCCCCTCGACCCACTTCAGGCTCCTGGGGGTATCAGCTCTCTGTGTCGGTCCAGAGCAGAACAACTGGACCCCCTGCGGGTTTTGGGTTGGTGTTTCTCCTGTTGAGTCAGAAGGTTCTGATGGTTCTAACTCACTGTCCAGACGATCCAAACCGGGTCGGTTCTGCAGTCAGAGATGATTCCTCTGGTCCCCTTCAGTTCTGATGGATCCGGATCCATTGCATTCAGACAGTCTGGTTCCTGGTGGTACCAGCTGGTACAGGAGAATCACATCTGGAAGGTTTACTGGGTTCTGGATCGGGTCGGGAGTCTGAATGGACCGGGTTCGGATCCTCTGCAGTCGGACCTGGAGACCGATGCTGAACCCTGGAGGTTCTGAAGATGGACCAGAGGTTCTCATCTGATGTTCTGGAAACGGTTTAATGTCTCTGAACCGGACTCAGAGTTCTGCTGGGCCTCAGTGGGTCCTGGATGGTACCGGGTGCTGGATGGTACCGGGTTCTGGATGGTACCGGGTTCTGGATGGTACCGGGTTCTGGATGGTACCGGGTCTTCTCGGTCCTCTGTGGAAGCAGCAGAACCTGAGCTCTGGGTCGTGAGCGGGCAGCAGGAGAACTTCCTGGTTCACCAACGGCAGCATGGAGGAGCATCCAGGCTCGATGATGGACCAGAGGTTCTGCTGACGAGGTTCCAGAACCAGTCAGAGGTTCTGGTTCTGGTTGGACTCCACCAGATGATGGTGAACACCAGGAGGTTAATCTGTTAGGTTCAGACAGATGGGACTGGATCCCATGAGGAGGTCAGAGGTCAGAGGTCAGATCTTTCCCTCCTCATGGTTTAGGTCTTTATGATTTTCTCTCTGTCTTTATGTTTTATGCTGAAGTGATTTAAATCTCAGAGCTGAGATGATTTTCTCCTCATGTTGAGTCAGGAATCGTCTGTCATGTTTTGGTCGTATTGATTCATTCAACAGGAGGAAGACGAGTGGCTTTGACACCCAGACTGACGTAGTGACAGTTTCACCACAGTGTGAAGAAGACAGAGGGAGAAATCAATGAAATGTTTGATCCTGTGATGAATTATTGATGATGATGTTGATCACTGATCAATGAGGACGATCAGAGGAAACTATTGATGATGATTTTGGTTCAGTTAGAGACGGTGTGTGTGTGTGTGTGTGTGTGTGTGTGTGTGTGTGTGTGTGTGTGTGTGTGTGTGTGTGTGTGTGTGTGTGTGTGTGTGTGTGTGTGTGTGTGTGAGGCCTCTGGTTTCCTGTTTAATCTTCAGAAACTCTGCCAGCCTGCAGCAGCTGCTGCTCCTCTGCGGCTGCAGCAGCTGCTGCAGCTCTGCTCTCGTTTCCTCTGGTTTCATCTCAGCCTGAAACCTGCTGCCTCCTCAGATCAACCAGAGGAGCCAGAGGCTGCAGCAGGCAGAGCTGCTTGCTTTGTGTTTCTGGAGCCGCTGCAGTGACATCATGTGTGTGTTTTACTGACCAGACGGCGACCGGGCTTCGGTTTACTCTGCAGTGAGGATGGAGAACCGAGACGGACAGCAGAGCAGCAGAGAGGAGGAAGACGAGCTCAGAGGTTCACATCCTGCATCACAATCTGAACTTCACTTTAATCCAGACTTCCAGCTTTAAATCTGTTTAAACTCATATAAAGCACAGCAGCAGCTTGGAGCTGTGGATTCCTCTGACCTTTGACCTGGATGAGTCACAGTGACATCACTGTTTCTGTCTTTACCAGAAGTTGATCTTTGTGTTTTTTTCTTCTGCTCCACATAATCATCTGATAAAGTTTTACTGGTTTCTGCCGACAATAGAGAGAAACTTCCTGTTAAAACCTTTAATTGTCTCTGAGTGAAGATCAGATCAAACATGGAGCTTCATCATGTTTATAATAAATATTAATAGACAGGAAGCAGCTCTGCTGGCTCCTTATAGACTTTACATTCTTCAGGTTGAATCTTTAAAGTTTAAACAGTTTTCCTCTCTGGTTCTGATGCTGTTTCATCATTTTTTCTCCTTCACTTTCTGACTGTTGTGATCTGTAACCATGGCAACGGGGTGTTTACCAGAACAGCTGATTCAATCCTGAGGATTTGAATATAAAGGAGCAGAAGATGGATCATTTCCTGACTCCAGCAAACAACAGCATAAACACTGATACTGAGCAGATTTACTGTCTGATGTTCCTCTGTAATCTGCACCACTAATCTGAGTTAATCTCATTACAGAGAACGAATCGTCTGCTGTTTATTCATATGTTAGAAAAGGAAACGCAGAGAGAGTCAACAGGACTGAAGGTAGAAACACACACACACTGATACACACACACACACACACTGATACACACACATACACACACACACACACACTGATACACACACACACACTGATACACACACACACAAACACACGCACACATCATCTGACAACTTTCATTTCAATCCATCCATTATCCGGTCATCCTTCTCCCTAACGGGTCGGGAGTTGCTGGTTCCTCTCCAGCTGCGTTCCAGGCGAGAGGCGGGGTCACCTGGACAGGTCACCTGGATGGGTCGCCAGTCTGTCGCAGGGCAACACAGAGAGACAAACAGGACAAACAACCATGTACACACACACACCTAAGGAGAATCTGGGAAGGCCAATCAACCTGACAGTCATGTATTTGGACTGTGGGAGGAACCCGGAGAACCCGGAGAGAACCCAGCATGCTGTGCAGAAAGATCCCGGGCCGGGAATCGAACCAGGACCTTCTTGCTGCAAGGCAACAGCGCTACCCACTGCTCCACTGTGCAGCCTACTTTCATTTCAGTCATTCAGTAAAATCTAATCTAATCTCAGATAATCTGTCAGATTTCTCAGATTAATAATCCTAAAATCTCCCAGTTTGAATGTTAAAAGTTGCAGCAGCTTCAGTTCCTGCAGGTTTTCCAGTAGAGATCAAACATCAGCATCATTATTAATACAGAGATGATTTCTGTTTCCAGATCCGCAGCCAGAGATCAGCTACTCTTCTCTCCTGATCCACCAGTGACATCCGTCCACCGGACCCGGTCTGTCCACCGGACCCGGTCCGGTTTAACTGGTCCGTCTCCCAGCTAACTGGACTGGACTGTCTTCATGTTGGTTTATGATCTGGTTTCTTACAATGTGACATTTATTCAGAGTTTTATCAATATTTTAATGTAAAAATCGCATTGCTTCATAAAACCTGTCAGTATTTTTAAATGTTGTTTTTTTAATAAAAGTTTTTTCTTTTTCAGAAATAATATTTCCAGATTTATTTTGGTGTTTTTATTGTTTTAAGCTTCTTATAAACTAAATTATCTTCTGTGGGACGTTTATTAAAGCAGAATAAACATAATAAATATATAATCTGAACTTTATAAACTAGTTTTCTGACATATAATTTGTATGTTTATATCATAAAGCAGAGACAGATTCCACTTTCCTCCACCAGGGGGCAGAGTTTTAATATTTATCAGTTACTTATCTAAAAACTGAAACTTTATCCCACACATCTGTGTAAAATCTATTTCAATATGATTATTTTCCTCCAGTGAATAAATCTGGAACATAAAAACAGATTCTATAATAAAGTCAGAAATCTGCTGCATTATTTATCTGAAGGTGAACTGGGAGCTTTTCAACCTGAACCAGTTCAGTCAGTAATCAGAGGATTCTGTACCATCCACCGCCAGCAGGGGGCAGAGTTGAGTCATGAATTCAGTGAAGAAGTGATGTTCAGTGTAAAATGTTATATTTCTGTATTGAGATGTAATATTGAGAGGCTTTATTTTATTTTCTGTCAGAAACTGTTTTAGAAATCAAATAAACTTTTCTTTATGAACTGAAGGCTCTGAGTCACTGGGGGTTTCCGCTCAGGTTTGAACATCGACCTCCTGCTGGGTTACAGTAAATGGGTCGAGCTGTTTTCTCTGGATCTGGAGGGACTTCAGGCTCCTGTTCTCAAACCGCAGCAGCAGTGAAGGCCCCGCTTTACCTGCCTGCTGTTTTCAGTATGCAGACGACTCATATAGCTCTAGATCTATCTCTAGATCTAACTCTAGAGTTATCTCTAGATCTAGATCTAGAGATAACTCTAGAGATATTTCTAGAGCTGACTCGTGGGGATTTTCCACTGAGGGTTAACATCCAGTTTCTGCTGATTTCCAGTAAATAGAACTGGTTTCAGTTTGGAGGACTTCACCAGGATTCATGATAAAGATCAAACCTCACAGCTTGTTTTCCATCTCAGGGCGTCTGATGTCTGGCTTTCAAGAAAAGGCCTGTTGAGATATTTGTTTTGCCATTTATTTCTTACATTTAAAGGACAAAAAGTATTATTTACTGTTAAATAAACCAGAAAACTTTCAGAAAACTGCAAAAATGCTGAAACACTGAGTTCCTGGACATTCCTCCATTTTTATTGAGTTCTGTATGGAAGAAGTCTGGGCTTCATTAATGATTCACCACATGAACACGACGAGCTGCAGCCACCGAGAAAACAGAGAAACCAGAGAAAACAGAGAAAACAGAGAAAACAGAAAACGGAGAAACGCTTTACTGGAGGATCCCACCCAGGACTCACTGATCTGAACTCAGCCGTTTAATTCATTAAATTAATTCAATCTAAACGTTTAAAAGTCAACCACCAGCCTTCAGCCTCATGTTTGTTTCAAGGTTCAGATTCATTTTAAGTTAACTTTATTTCTAAGGTAAGAAGTTAAAGGAGGAAGGAAGTGGATCATTGCAGCTCAGCTTTTAGTGCTGATGCGACATATTCTATGAGTTTATTAAGCCATAATGTTGTCATCATGACTTAATAATGATGACATCATTAGCAGTCAGTTCCCTGCCGTGTTTGAACTGACTGCTCATGATTATGATCATGTCATATTCTCTGGTTTGGCTCAGATTCCATTTAAACCCAGAAAATGATCCAAACACAACAAACCTACTGACAGAATCAGCCAAGAGCCTGAAAATGAATTCATTCATCCAACCATAACAGAAAAGTAAAGCTAGGCTACATTCTCCATATGAACAGCATCTAAATCACAAAGTGATCTTCCCAGTGTAAGCCGGTTGTAGATGACTACAGGAAGTGAAGATGAGCAGAAGCTGGCTGCAGCCTGAGCTCATTTGGGCCGATGGATCCGGGTGTGTTGGACCAGCGGAGGATCTAAACGCTGCAGAGATCCAGTCATCAGTGCAGCTTGTCTGATTCCCAGGTTTCCTCTGATCACCAACATGTCAGCTTTGCACAGTTTTTAAAACTGTCTTCAATGTTTGTCTTATTGTGAGCAAACATCAGATTAGAGATGAGTTCATGCATTAATGTTCAACTACAAGAAAATCATCGCTTAGTGATCAGTTTGATGTCATCAATAGATCAATAGGTTCCTCTGCTTTCTGACAAACTAACAGATGATGTTGAACGATAAGTTTAGTTTAGTTATTAAAATAAAACAAAACTGTGTTTACTCTGAGCAACATAAGTTTCACAAATCCAGGGTGAAAGGTCACATGACCAGACGCTGGAGGTCAACGGCGTCACAAACCCGAACAAGAGCAAGTCAGTAAAATACTTTCATAAAACATATTCTGAGCATATTCCCAGTGTCTTCTCCTGATCTATGAAGATAATCGTCTCCATTCATTTTTTAGTCATGGGAAGCTGCTGCTAGCATAGCACACAGTTAGCGCTATGCTAGTGTCTTTAGCTTTGCTGTTTGTTCTGCATGTCCTGCTGTTTATACATGATGATGATTCTGATCTCTGCCACTAACACAACCAACATCAAATATAATAATTCATAAAATCATGTTAGGGAGGAACAAGGCTGAACTGCATGCTCTTATTTTGAAACAGGAGTTAGATTTAAAACATCTCCAGATAAAGTTTCAGCTAAAATCATTTCTTGTTTTATTCAGTTAAATCATAAAGTGAGAACAATTATCATCCACTGACTGCATCCAGAGAATATTAGGAGTTTTAATGGAAACATGAAAACATTCAACATTTATTCACATTAAACAACCAGACAGGAGAAAAGCTTTTCTAAAATAACATACAGTGAAATATTAATGCAGTTTTATATCATCTGCAGAGTGAAATGTTTGGTCTGCAGCCTCACTGTGTTTTCTGATCTCTCAGTTGGAACCTGACATAATGTTGAAACTATTTATTGAGCATATTTCACAGGATGAAAACAACCATAAAACATGACAAATAAAACATAAAGCAGAATAAATAAAGCTCTTTTAACAGTGACCAGAGTCCAGACAGATGGAGTAAAGAGTCTTCAGATCATAAAGTACATAAAGAGGCTGTTATGATTATTAAGATGAGAAGGAATAAAAGCATTTGAAATGATCTTTAGATGCCAACGTTTGGAGCTTTGACCTGTTTCTGAACTGACAGAGGATATGTCATAAAGACAATATCAGACCAGATTCATCCAGAAATGTTTCATGATCCTCTGATTATTGCTGTAGCGAAGAGAGGAGCGGATCATCACTGATGATCGTTAATGTTAATGTTGCTAATAAAGCTTCTACATTTTGACAGGTGAATCTGGATCTTTAACAGATTAACAAGAAAAACTCAGAAAGTCCAAATTTAAAGCTCCTCAGTCCATAAAAAACGTTGTTCACAGAACCTCGTCTCCGTTCAACACTTTGTTCTGATGAGGAAACGAAGTCGGACCGACCCAGTTCTCCTCTGGACCCGTTTAGTTCCTGATCACTGAGACGTCAGGAGGAGAAAACTGCCTGGTTCTGCTGCGGTTCTGCAGCCACACAATGAGCTTCAGTTCATCTGGTGGTTCTGACAGAACATGGTGTCGATCTGAGCAGAACCGATGGAACCAAGGAAAACAGAAACACTACGATTCAATGAGAGTCAGAACTTTCTCTGCTCAGATTATTGGATCAGCCAAAGCCAGACAGAGAGCAGGAACCAGTCCAGGTGTTTGGTTCCTCAGCTGTTTGGTTCCTCGGCTGTTTGGTTCCTCGGCTGTTTGGTTCCTCGGCTGTTTGGTTCCTCGGCTGTTTGGTTCCTCGGCTGTTTGGTTCCCTGCAGGTCAGAACCAGAACCGAGGCAGCAATAATCAGAACAACGACTAAAGTAACTGCAGCTATCAGTCCAACGTGTCGATTTCTGGATCCAGTGTTTCTGCTGCCGTCTTGGTTCCCTGCAGAACAGAACCAGGTGTTAGTCTGATCCGACTACAGATCATCATCAGAAACCGACACTCACCTGTAGGAGGGGGCGGAGCTACATGCAGGTAGACGGAGATGCTGGTGAATGTTGCGATGGTACAATAAACACATGAACAGAAGAATAAAGTTATCATGTATTGTTTCCTGCTGTTCAAACTGAAGCAGGATGATTTCTGATCAGGATCAAAATCAATGATTATCATATTTATATTGGAAACTAAAATATTTTAATCTTAGACTGTAACTCTGTCCTCACTGTATAGTCAGTTTTCTTTCTGCTTTTATACATATTTTTAATGGAATTTGTTTCCCTTGTCCAGTTATTGCTGCTTCACCTGATTTACCCCCTGAGGGGCAATAAAGCTTCTAATCTAATCTAATCTAATCTAATCTAATGTAATCTAATCTAATCTAATCTAATCTAATCTAATGTAATCTAATCTAATCTAATCTAATCTAATCTAATCTAATCTAATCTAATCTAGTCTAATCTAGTCTATTCTAACACTGTAAAAGCAGAAACAGATATAAATAAATCAACAGCTCCCCCCAGTGGTCAAACATGTTTACTGTCTTTGACCTTTAATTTAAATACCGATCAACTTTGTGAGGTTTTAATATAATCTACTGTAATCAAAGTGATGACGTTTCATTTCCATGTTTATATTGTAGATAATCTGAAATCAGTGACAATGAATCTGAATCTAAACTGATTATTATTAGCTGAGTGACGTCAGCAGGAGGAGCTCCTGATGTAGGTCTTTCACCTACGTGAAGCTGACACCCCACCTACGTCATAAAATCCAGCAGATAGTCTGATTGGTCAGTGCTCCGTTAGTGCAGGTTTGTGCCGTTAAAATTTTTGTTTGTGCAGCTTTCGTTGTCGAGATATTAAAAGTTATAATTTTGGCCGATGACGTCACCAGTCCCCCATACAGCTCCAAAACAAACCAAAATAGTC